ACACACACACACACACACACACACAAACACACACACAGGCACGAATAGTCATAAAATGATTGGATTGGCATACAAATTGATGTATTCTCTCACACATGGAAAATACTGAATAGCTTGTAATGGTGATGGAAAGATAAAGTGTTTTTTTTTAACCGATTGGTTCCTGCTGCTTGAAATCAAACATTTTCTTTTAAATGATGTCTAATTTACCGAATTAGATGTTTGGTGCCAACAAAAACCGTCTTTTTCTACTTTCACAATATTGATATTGTCATTTTGTCGCCGCCATTCATCATTGTCGTATGCCAATGAGGTTTTCATGAAAAACAAAAACAAACAAACAAACAAACAAACAAACAAACAGACAACCCCACCCCCTATAATAAAAACAAAAAAACACATTTTAGATCAAATCGGGCAGGACATAATACTAATACAAAATTTTAACGCAAATTCGTCTATATCCGTTACTCTTTAAAGAAGAGGAATTATATTATATCTAATCGGTATGCCCCATTTATCAAACTCTTGAAACGTACTTGATTTTAATTTTTGAAAAATTTTTTTGGGTCTCTAAATTCTGATATACACTACAATTTTGAATGGCCATGACGACTTATTTCGTTTTATCGCTATTCCTCCTTCTGTTCAGGCCTGCAGATGTATCTTCATCTAGTGAGAGTGTTGGAGGACAACTACCCTGAAATGTTGAAGCGCATGTTTGTTATAAATGGTGAGTACAGAAAACGCACATAATATGCACACCCACGAAACAGACACGTCATACTCGCTCACTCACTCACACGCATAATATACGTTCACACAAATTCACACCCACTCACACATGTTTACACACACTCACGCACACATACACACACATACACACACATACACACACTTACACACACACACACACGCGCGCGCGCGCACACACTTCTTATCCGCTCTGTACGAATGCCACAACTCTCCAACCTGCTGTGTCATCCTTGTAATTATTTCTGTCCGTGTGATATTGATTCAAAAGCTCGTAAATTTTCTTGCAAATACCACCCCCTCCCCCCAAAAAAAACCCCCAAAAGAATAACAAACAAAACAAGAATTGATTATAAATAGAGCCTAACCACTAGGCCACCGATGATATTATTATTAATTGCTTTAAGGCCACACAAGGTAAACAGCGGAAACCAGGATTCGTTTCTCGGAGGATTAATCACAATGAAATCTTCGCCTGCCCTACTATAATAACGTAGCAATTACCTTAATTGTGCCTCGTATTCTTCCTGTTGTTTACGTCAACCGTCATAGGAATCCACCTCACGACACGGTGAATTCAGGCGATCGTCAATTAACTCGCTGTCTCAAAATAAAATGGTTTGAGTTTAACGCCCCTATCAACACTGTTAGGTTATTTAAGGGGCGGGACCTCCTAGTTTAACGTCCGTCCCCGATAGGACCGAGCCAAGTGGGAAGTTCGTGTAAAGTGCCTTTCACAAGGACACAACATCGGACCGAGCTGAGGCTCGAACCCCGAACCCGCAAGCTCATGGTTACGAGTCCGGTAGCCTAACCACTAGCCTAACCGACGACGCCACTTCGCTACCTCAAAATTACAAAGTTCTCTCCAACATCTTCGGCTGTTTTGAATTACTAAAACCATGAGGCCAGAAACCGAATTTTAATGTTCTATCTGCTCTATCAAAATTGTAAGATTATTCGGAGTCGTTATTAAGATATTTAAAGAATTGCATTTGAAAAAGCTCGACTTGCTGTGAAACTCAAAAGTAGGTACTGAGCAGAGAGAATGTTGTAACTCTGAGGTCGCGAATTATTGGGCATAGTATGGAATTATTGGTATCATCTTAAAGCTCGGAGGTTGGGATTGCCTGTTAAATAAGGGAGATAATAACCACTTCAATATGGTGACTTCCAAAGCTTGAGTATCCTTAGAAAGTGCACATTTGCAATTTGTTTTTCTTTCTCTTTTTGCGTTTTTAGTAAAATGCACATCGAAATCTTTTTTAAAACGTACGTAAAAGAGATGATTGAATTTGCTCAGGGTGAGGAAAAATGTTATGTTCATCGATTTCATTATTTTGACGAGCGCCTGATTTTACCACGATGCCGCACAATTATCGTCTTCGTAGTTGCTGCTGTCTCGTTATTCGTAGTCTTGCTTGTTGGCAATAAGTGAATTGCTGCATGTTGATGGGATTGGTCAGGTCTGTGAAATGAAGCTTTGATCAGATTGATTGGAAAGTCTTGTTAAATTGTGGAACAAATAAACATTCTGCCATCTAATAGAATTTGATCTTTCACGCAGTTTAAAAAAAAAAGAAAAAGGAAGAAAAAGAAACAAGATTTCAGGTTCAGATGATGGATACGCTCCAACGTGGGAATCAAACACATTCACATTTCCCGCTTCGACGACGAAAGCCTAACTACTACATCAAAAACGTCGGTCGCGGCACTTTCAAAAGATGACAGATAAAAGTTGATTTGAAAATATTACTGCGAATTTATGGATTTCCCCCTCTCTCTTAAACGTACTGATGTTTATGAAATCGAAGACACAAAGTACTTTTCAGCATAGACACGTAATTCCTAGTTAGGTTCCATGAAATTTATTTTGTTTTTATTATGTTTTAGATTTTGTTTTATTTAAGTTTTGATTTTGTTTTGTTTCAGCGCCACGCATTTTTCCAATTTTGTACAAAATTTGCCGACCGCTTGTGAGTGATGACACGAAGAACAAGATTCACGTACTGGGATGTGAGTTTCTTCTATTTCTCCTCTTCCTCTCCTTCCTCCTCCTCCTCCTCCTCCTCCTCCTTCTTGTTCTTACTGTTATTCTTCTCCCCCCCTCTCCTCCTCTTCCTCCTCCTCCTCCTCCTCCCCCTCCTCCTC